TGTTTGACATTGCTGAGTACTGCGAGTGCCGAAGCAGTCAACTTTTACGACACAGCCCTTACCCGCAGAGGGAGAGACTGGAAAGCAATATGCAACGCTTCGAGGATCATTGCATAGGGAGGAAGAATGTAATAGTGGAAACAATTCCGATCTGTGAGACAGAGACAGCTAACTCAAGAATCATTCGAGCAGGACCTGCAGATGTTGATAGTTGAGCAGGAAGTGTGAATATGGATTGATATGTGATAGAATAGGAAGAGACAAGATCATCCTGGGAAATAGAAATGACAGGAGGCGTGGAAAATTACTAAGGGATACACGGTTGGATTTGGCAAAGGCCAAAGAGATAACAAAAGTGGTAGATAGATGGGCTATCAAATTATAATAATAATAATCCTTGCATTTGATATAGCGCTTTTCACGTCAGGGGGACGTCCCAAAGCGCTTCACAGAACACACTATAAAGTGAATTGACTGTATATTTGTGGGCGAACGTGGCAACCAATTGCGCACAGCAGTGTCCCACAAACAGTCGTAGATTGAAAATGACCAATTTATTGTTGTTTTTTGTTTCGGAGGGATTATTGTTAGGCGTGTGGAGTAAGGAAACTTGCCCAAGGTTTCGCCCTGCCAGGAATTGAACTCAGGTCTCTCGCTTGCAAAGCGAATGCTCTAACCACTGAGCTACAGGACTTCCATGTCTTTAATATCATTGGCGGGAGCCTGACGTCGAGTCGGGGGAGGGAGGAGGTGATTCTTAGCGAGGTCGAAGAGGAAGCTCTTTAGTCGTAATCTAAATGAGGGGAAGGAGGGGGCAAGACGGAGGGAACACAAATCGGCCTGTTACAAGTGGCAAAGGATAAGAAAAGGGAAGCATATGAATGAGACAGAGCGGTGTTTTAGTTATGATACAGTCCAGAGTCAATCAACATGGTGGTTTATAACACACGACTCCTATTTGGCCAACAAATTGCACAATTACTGTACTTTACAGTAAACCCTGTGAAGCGCTTTGAGATGTCCTCCAGATGTGAAAGACGCTTTACCAAGTGTAAGGATTATTATAAAGATTATTATATTATTTGTCTCAACTTGTTTAACATTCCCCCTCCCGTAAACAGCTAAAAGTGAACAAACTTGTTCTCATTCATTTTTCACTGAAGAAGCCACAAAGTGAATGTGAATGTGGAGAATGGTTCTAATGCACTGGAAGAGTACCAGGTTACAGTTGAGCTTCTTGTCGGATCCATGATGTATTGGAGTCACACTGAATCCGACCTCAGAGACCCCATCTCCCTGTTCAGATAGATGTTGAAGAAACCATGGCACTATCAAAAACAAAATGCAAGTTTCTCCCAGGGTACTGACCAAAATTGGTCATTCACTTTATGGCCGTTTGTGAGACAATGCTGTGTGCTGCTGTCAGCCTATTTTTCCAAGGAGGTGAGGCTCACAGAGTAAAATACATGGAGACAAAAGTCACTGAATTGGACTTTGAGCTTTAGTGATGGTAGGTTGCAAGAGGTCAAGACCAAACACACCAGAACCCCTCAGCAATACACTCAGAGGCTTTAAAGCTCTGCATCACTTTATATTCCTGGAACTCGAGTAGTTTCATCAATCTTGTGGAGTATGTTTCTTCAGCTTTGCTTATTGCAGTTTGATTTTGTTATTGTTCTTTGGAAATAAGTTTGTGTTTCAGCTGAGCAGTTCAGTCATTGGAGACGTTTGGTGGCAGTACTTCAGTGCAGCTGAAAACAGTGGGAGCCTTACTGTGCACATGAAGTTCATCCTCCCTGGGGCCTATCTCTCTTGAGATCACTTTAGAGGTTATTCTATTCTGGTAGCAGAATACTACTGGTAGCAAAATCACTGATATGGGCAGCCCCTGTTCTTCTCCATTTGGGATATGCTACAAGATGTGTCCCTGTTTACAAGTGCACAGATGCAATTTTAAAACTATAATTAATATTCCCCTTTACATTTTAAAATTGCAATATTTATTAATAGGTGAACAAGGATTAAAGTTAAACACATCAGAGATTAACTCTTAACCCACATCAATTTGTTTGCCCATGAAATGCTCAGAGCTTTTCAACACAAGACTTCATGAATTTCAAAGCAGTTGGCAATAAGTACATTGCAGTAAGTTGTTTCTAAATACAGATGTGCAGATGACTTAGCTCTTTTGTTCTTTAGCTTCAAGCACTTTATGAGCTTTAAAAACTCAATTATGTTCGAAATGGCAGAATGTTATTAAAGTTGGGCAAATAGTCTTGAAAAGATTCATCATCAAGGCTTTTTTTTTAGCCTCTGCACTAAGTCACCTTTTACTTACGTTTTCCCTGACATTTATATTCACTGTAAGCTATTTATACTCGGTTAGCAATTTATACAACCCATTATTTACATTTCCCTGACAAATAGATAAGCCATGTAAGAGATATTCTCTGTAACATGATTTTTACTATTCAGTCATCTTGAAGATGGACTAATACTCTCTTGGCTCCTGGAAATGCAGTGGTTTGAATAGGATTCTTGCCATGTCCTTTAAATCATTTTATTATTCCACATACACTATGCAGTCTCTTCCACCCTTATTCTCCGGCTCATCCAATTTGTAGTAAGTGAACTCTACACTCCCTTTAACCACTGGTGATCGAGCCTTCAACCATTGTGCCACTGCCCTCTAGAACTGTTTCCCATATGTGCCTGTCTCTCGTTTTGCATTCAACACCCTCTTAAAAATACATCTTTGACCGTGCTTTTGGTCAAAATGGATTCCTGTAGATTATTGGTTGAAGCACTCGCCTCGCAAACAAGAGAATCCGGGTTCAATTCCGGAGCAGGGCAAAGCCTTAGACAAGTTTGCTTTCTCCACATGTCTCTATTTACCTAGCAGTAAGAAGGAACTAGGTTGTTAGTCAATTGGCGAATTGCTTTCCGGAAATAAAAACTCTTAAAAAAAGTAATAATTTGGCCATTCGATCCATGATTGTTTGTGCGACATTGCTGTGTGCAATTGCTGTCGTGTTTGCCCACAAAATATACAATTAATTCACTTTACAGTATATTCTGTGAAGTACTCTGAGAAGCCTCAACCACGTTATAAGGCACTACATTAAATATAGGGATGATTATTAACATATTTAATTTTCTCTGTTTGGCATTTGCTACCATATCTGTGAAATACTTTGAGACATTTAGCTGATGTGAAGGTTGTTATGTAAGTGAGTTCTCCCAAAGGTGGTGTAATAGAGCACTGTGTTACAATCGCACTTTGCGTTATATTAATAATTATATAATAATCCTTGCATTTGATATAGCGTCTTATCACGTCTTCGAGACGCCTCAAAGTGCTGCTCAGAATATGCTGTACAGTGAATTGATTGTATATTTTGTGGGCGAAACACGGCAGCCAATTGCGCACAGCAGTGTTCCACAAACACTCGAGGATTGAAGTGACCAATTTATTAATTTTTTTTTGAAGGAATTATTAACCCTGGAAAAGCAATCTGTCAATCGACTAACAACTGGGCTCCTACTTACTGCTAGGTAAACAGAGGCGTGTGGAGTAAGGAAACTTGCACAACTTTAGTTGCATAAGTACCTGGATGCTCCACTTTATTGATTTTTTTACTCCGCAAAAATCACAACCAAGCACATATGGGATCATAATGTTAACGTTTTTTAAAAAAAATTGGAAGTCAGTAACATACTGGTTTGCTGGTGTGAAACTCAGGTCAAAATGATTGTGTTGTGTAATTGTGAGAAATACATTTATTTAAGCGGAAACTGCCAGACTAATTCCAAAACACTCGATGGGTCCTGGCTGCTATGGCAGCTGCGAGGTTATCATGACTGTGATAACGGGATGATAAATCAATTTGGTTCTGGTTTTCAGGATAATTAAAAGCTTGTGTTCTTCCTATCAATTAGTCCAAAGTGCCATTGTTATTGTTCCACAGGATGGATTTTATTTATTCTTTTATTATGGAAAATTATTTAAAACGATCTATAACAAAAATAATCTTTGCATTTGATATAGTGCCTTATCACTCAACGTGCTTCAGAATGTTCTTTGCTAAGCGTAGTGACTGAGTATTTGTTAATAATAATATTAATAATATTTGTTGGCAGTCAATTTGCCTCACAGGAATGTATCACAAACAGCCAGTTTGATCAATTTTGTACCTGGAGGATTGTTGGCCAGAGCACCAGAAGAAACTCCCTTCTCTTTCGAATCATGCCATAGGATCTTTAATGTTTCTCAAGCCCAGCCTTGGGACTTTGACCCTACAGTCTCGCAAACACTCGAATGCAGTGCTAACATTGCATTGTCGGAGATGCCGTCTTTCAGATGAAGAGTAAACCCAAAGATTTGCCTGCCTGTTCTGGTGAACGTTAAAGAAGCTGTGGCACAATTCAAAGGGAGAAGAGAGTTTCTTCTGGTGTCCTGGCCAACAATCTCCCAGACACAATATCGGTCACACATTTCATGGCTGATTGTGAGCCATTGTTATGCGCAAATTGACTGCCACGTTTGCATACAGAATATACAGTCACTGCACTCTACTTTGAGATGGCTTTCCAGATGAAAGGCACAATACCAATTGTAAGGATCATTATTGCTTTTAGTAAAACTTAAAATTTAAGATCAAAAAATCTTAATGAAAAGAAATCTTACTTGTGATTTGGAAGCCAATTTATCTTTAATTCTTGCAGTTTCCAAACTGAGGCAAGAATGTAAGCCTTTTCCAAAATTCACACAATCCTAACATTTTAACATGAATTAATTTTAACATTAGCTTGTCGGTCATGACTGGGTGGCGTTTGCTGACCTGGATAATAACCTCACTCTCTTCACTGAGTTTGGTGAAGATCTCGCTTTGGGACGACCTCCTGGCGTGAAAGCCGCAATACAAATGTAATTTATTGTTGTTGTAGTAGTGTGGCAAACTTCACAGCCTCGCTCTCTTCCTCCTCCTTCTCTCTTGCAGCAACTTGCACTAATTATAAGAAGACCCCACCTCCTGTCCCCCCACGCACCACCTCCAAGCCAGTGATTTCAGTGACAGCCCAGAGCAGCACGGAATCCACTCAGGATGCATATCACGAGGGCCGGTCGCGCTCCCCCTGGCCACAAGAAGGCAGAATTATTTACAACTCCACGGACAGCCTGGATAGCACCAAGGCAGTGAATATCGCATTGGAGTCAGCAGCTGCACAGCACCACGCTGCCAGCGAGAGCAAAAACAGCATGGTGCTGACCAGAGACAAGGGCATCTTAGCCCTCGATGTCACGAAGGCAGAGCAGTATCTGAAGAAGCGACGATCCTCCATAGGGATCCAGGTAACCCGTCATTAACATCTCCCGTCTGTGACTAACTGCATGTACAGCTACTGTAAATAGCACTGAATGAGTCACACGGCTTAGCTGTCATTCAGCGGTGCTATGGTGTAATATGGCTCACAAAATTTTGTGGTAAATGGCACTACATTAAATAAAAATGTATTTGCTGGAGTAAAAGAAAGTCTTACAGTAGAATCACTCAATCAGTACCTAGAATCTAAAATTTAATCAGTGAATTTTGAAATTCAGATATGTAATTAATTGTAATTTGAGTTCTCTAAATATTAAACCTTTTCACACCTCTAGAAAGCTTAGTGAGTAGAGGCAGCACCTGATATAACATGAAACCATTCTAGACCAGACCTCAGGCTGGCTCGGACAGGACAGCAACTTAGGGTGTTGCAAATGGCCTAATGTCTCCGGGCTGCAGGGAGTGAAAATAAATGCCAACAACCAATATTTAGATTGAGCCTTTCAAGTCAGTAGGGCATCTCAAAGTGTTTCACCAAAATGACTGGGAGCCCAAGCTATAGGTGGGCACAGCTTAGGAGAGTAGGGAGTGACCGAAAGCGCAGTTGGTAAGATGGATCTTAAAATGAGCATTAAAGGTGTGGAGAGAGGGGATGTGCGATTCTGGGATCCAGTACAAATAGGTACAGGAGAGAAGTCTAATCTACAGATGAGGAACCAATCTCTTGGTTAGAAGGAAAACAAAAGAACATTTTTTAAAAATCTATATATATATACACAGACACAGACACATCAGCGATAAATAAAACATGGAAGGCACCTTCACTTTCATCATTTAAGAACTTTAAAGCTATTTGAAAGAGCAGCCTGTAAAGTAGCAAACACTGTAGAAGTGTGAAACGTTAGCTGAGCAATCCTCTTCACGAGGCCACTGGGAGATTCCATTCTCTGAAGCACGCATTTGACACGTCTAAAAGTTTATTATAAACCAGCTTCCCTTCCCATTTCCCCATCCCCTTGATCTAGCCGTTTATTCAGAAACAGTCCAAGAAAAAGACAGACCTTATATCCAGAAGCACAAAGTGCAAAAGCAAAGCATGGTAACAAACTGGGTTAAGCAAATTGGGTAGAGTTTTGTCTACAGTTTTGGGCACCCCTTTACAGGAAGAATATAAAAGCAACAGAAAGGATGCCTGTATAGTTTTACTAGGACAATATCAAAAAAAAGGGCTTGAGAGAAGAGAATTAAGTTAACACTGGTCTCACGAGAGCTGCGAAGATTTAAGAGTGACCTAATTGAGAATTTGAAGATTATGAAGGTTTACAGACAGAAGAAACAGCGATAGATTATTTCCACCGATCAGCAAATCAATAACTAGAGGGCACAAATTTAAGATGATCCCAAAAATAATTCAAGGGAAGGTTTGGGGGGAAAAAATCTTTTAAGGCAGAGGATGGCGAGGTTGTGGAATTCTCATCCGCAAACCAAGTTGAGACAGAATCTATAAAACTGCCTTGAAAAGGAATTGGATAGATTTTAGAGAAGGGAATCTCTCCCGGTGTCCTGGTCAACAATCCCCCAAATAATATTGGTCATTCACTTTGTGGCCATTTGTGGGACTTTGCCTTGCACAAATTGGCTGCCGCATGCATTCACGTAAAGTCACTGCATTTTATAGTATAAAGCGCTTTGGGACGTCCTCTTGAAGTGAAAGGCGCCATACCAAATGTAAGAATTACTACTATTAAATTCTTGAAGATGAGGAATATTGTAGCAAGCAAGCAGGAGAGCAGGATTACATAGTCTAATGCGGAGAGAAACATCAGGGCAGATTTGATGGGTCGAATAGCCAGTTTCTGAGCTGTACGCTGTCTATGATAGTTGCCTCAAATTAATTGAAATTAGTTCTCCCAGTTGACATTATGACAGGTATAAGTAAATGATTTATGGATTCTAAAATGCTGAAAAACATGCCATATTTTCTTTATTTTTCTGGTTGATTTGCCAGCAACTCAACCTTTTAATGAAAAAAAATGAATGTTGTGAAAACATCCTACCAAGTCAGTTCCAGGCACAATTCCCCCATGACTGGTTGGTACAGGGATTAGCATCCTGTGCACATCATGCTCGGAAATCCACCTCCCCTAGATAGACTCTGGAATGGTAACAGGGTGTGATGTGACACCACAGCACATGACAGATGGTGACGGTGTGATATTGAAGTGAGAAAATCTGATATCCAAGTTACGATAATAATACTTGCATTTGATATCATTGAGAGGCCTCAAAGTGCTTCACAGAATATATGGCAAATTGACTGTGTATTTTGCAGGTGAAATGTGGCAGCTAATTGCGCATAGCTGTGTCCCACAAACAGGCGTGAATTGAGTTGCCAAATTATTTTTATTATTTTATTTATCTTATTACGCCCGCCCCCCCCGCGGAAAGCAATCGACCAATGACAACAATTGAAGTAGTGCAATAAAACCCAATGTTATGTATGTATAAAGGCTGCTCGGTAAATATTTTCTGACTGACTATGTGTGTGTGTGTGTGTGCATTTGTGATCAGGTGGATGCCGTGGAGACAACAGACTCAGATACAGACAGCAAAGGCCTCCGGGAGTATCACTCAGTTGGAGTTCAGGTCGAAGATGAGAAACGGTAATTCAAGCGAGAAATGAATGCCCTCACAGAACAAACAAACAAACAGGCCTCAGTTAAACAAACGGCAGAGCAAACATCTGGCAACACTACCAGCTGTTTAGATTTGGAAAAGGAAAGGCAAATGAGAGCCAGTTAATTCCCACTCACACTTCATTGCAGTTCTAACAAGCCCATGGCAATCACACACGGATTTGGAATTAAGAACGTTACAGTCAGTACTTCTACTTGGACTCGTTTATGCCTGTGTGCCAAACTCAATTATACAAGCTGATAGTCAAAGCAAGTGCTGTGGGTCCTCTGAGCCATTGCTTAGATAAAGCGTGCTGGAAGAAAATAGAAATTATAGGGTCGCCAACTCTTAATTTGTAATATTTCCCTTTGCACATTTTCAAAAAAAATTTCTTGCATTTTTGAATAAAAAGTAAAACAAGGACTCCAAGCATAAAGGCAGAAATAAAAAATAATAACCTTTTGCGTTTGCAAATACAGCATCTTTCACATCAGGAGGATGTTTCAAAGCACTTTACAGGATTAGTGTGAAGTGGAGTAACTGTATTTTGTAAGTGAATTCAGCAACCAATTTCCCAGTCACAAAATGACCAATTTTATCTGGGGGATTTAAGGGTCATTATGAATAGTCAAATATTACTTTAAAAAAGTTTCCCTTTTGTTTGTTTAATACTTGTTAAATTCTTTAATATAAAAAAGGAATCTAAACACGAAAATACTAAGCGGTATCATTTGAGGATCTGACTGCGTTGTTGAGGAATACAAACTTCTGCTCAGATAACATTCAAAGCCACAGTTAACATTCTGTGGAATGGAATAAAACCAGGAAAGGATGGGTGGAAACCTAACCTTTAAATCACACAGCTTATCATTTCCTTGAACAATGGAACAGTTTCAACTGATAACATCAAAGCAATTGTCTCTCGATTTAAAAAAATGGAGAGCGAATCCATCCCTTTACTCATTGTATAGGAAATAATATAAAAGCAGGAAACCCAGAGGTCTGGAGGCATTCAAAACTACTAAACCCAACCCTTTGAATCTACGGCTTTCAGCTTTCAAACTGCAGCATTTTTAATCTTTCACAAAACCCAAGTGTGTGTGTGTCTGTATATATTACATACATATGCGTATCTGAAGATGGGCTTTTAAGATAAGATTAAAGAAAAGCAAGGACGTAAAGGACACAGTTTCATTCAAAGGATTGTATAATGTTGTACTCCATTTGCTGGTGCAGGCTTCAAGAGAAGCTTTAACAATAACCATAATAATAATAATAATCCTTGCATTTGATATAGCACTTTTCACGTCGGGAGGACGTCCCAAAGCACTTCACAGAACACACTGTAAAGTGAATTGACTGTATATTTGTGGGCGAACGCGGCAGCCAATTGTGCACAGCAATGTCCCACAAACAGTCGTGGATTGAAAATGACCAATTTTTTTTATTATTGCTTTTGATTTTGGAGGGATTATTATTAGGTGTGTGGAGTAAGGAAACTTGCCCAAGGTTTCTCCCTGACTGGAATTGAACTCAGGTCTCTTGCTTGCAAAGCAAGTGCTCTAACCACTGAGCTACAGGACTCCACGTGAATCAACTGGAGAATTCTAACCTCATTTTGCTTTTATTAATAATAGTAATACTTATATTTGATATAGCGCCTCATCACATCGTTGAGATGCCTCAAAGTGCTTCACAGAATTCAAAATAAAGAAAATTGACCGCATATTTTGTGTTCGAAACTAGGTGCAAAACACCAACCTGGTCATTAGCAAGGTTAGGAAAGCAGCTGAAAGCAGGATTTTCAGAATGAAAAGCGCATCGACTGAAACTCTCTCTCAGGACCTCACAGAAGAAAGTTCATTTCCTCTGCCCATTTATCTCGTAGCTTTATCAGTTCTTTCTGTTTCCAGGCGAGGGCGATTTAAACGTTCGAACAGCGTGACAGCGAGTGTTCAGGCTGACCTTGAACTGGAAGGTTTCCCCAGTCCTGTGGCCACCGAGGACAAGGGTCTTCAGTTTGGTAACTCATTCCAGCGGCATTCTGAGCCCAGCACCCCTACCCAATACACTGCACTTCGAACTGTGCGCACACAGGGTTTGCTGAGCTACAGAGAGGACTATAGAACACCCATCGACACATCTAACCTACCACCCCCTGATCCGTGGTTAGAATCGACCCATCAGCCTGTGGAAGCGGGACATATGTCTCCCTGTCGAAGGGACGGGCAGTGGTTCATGAAGCTGCTGCACGCGGAGACAAAGAGGATGGAAGGATGGTGCAAGCAGATGGAGAGGGAAGCGGAGGAGAACGATCTGTCTGAAGAAAGTAAGAGCGCCAAGATTTTAACAATGATAATCCGTGCATTTGATGTAGGCTCTTATTGTGTCATCAAGATGTCTCAACACACTTCACACGACATGCTGTAAAGTGGTGTGACTGTGTGCATTTTGTGTGCAAACGCAACAGCCAATTTGCGCACAAGAATGTCTTACAAACATCCGTGGAGTGAGTGACCAACTTAACTTTATGGGGATTGTTGGGCAGGGCACCAGGAGAAACTCCCTACTCTTTTTGAATAGTACCGTTGGATCTTTGATACTCATCTACACAGGAAGACTGTTATAACATCTCATCCAAAGGATGGCATCTCCAACAATGCAGCACAATTCGCACTGTACTGGAGTGTTAGCATAGACCAATAGGTTCCAAGTCCCGACATGGGGCTTGCACCGACAACCTTCCTGACTCAGTTGATGAGCGAAGTAGGCAAACACACAAATTCACCCAAAATAAGCATGAGAATAACGGATTTTTTAAAACAAATGCAAAAGAGTTTCGCCTCCATGTTCCACATGGCTTTCATGGCTAATATAATCTGATCACTGTGTAATTACAAAATCCATCCAGCTGTAAAAGACATATTGCTGGCAGAATTCTTTAGAAAGAGCTGCTGCAGTGGAAAGGAATTAATGGCCGTCGCAGTACATGCATATACACTTGTAGCCTCTTTCCATAAAACCCCCCTACCTTTTCCCTGCTATTTGCTTGACATGTGAAATTATGCACAAAAAAATTGAGAGCAGAATTTTAATTGTTATTGTAGTAATTCACCCATCACAGCCACTGCTAAATTGTTGCCCTTCGACTTTGTCAGGGCTTTGATTTAGCCGTGAACCGAATAATAATCATCCATAAAAGGGTAAGAATTTTGTTCAACAGCTCATCGGGGATAAAGTGCAGCTGTTCAGAAAAAAAGTCTTTGTTTTAACAGGGCTGCAACACAGATACATGTTGTTAAGTTCAATGAACCAACAAACGTTTAAAACCATTTCTTTACATTGATATATTTGCCAGTTAGATCCCCAGGATGAAAGATTGAAATTATGGGGTGTGTAATTGTTACATCTGGGTACATTTTGCTCCTTGTGATGAACCAGCAGCAATCTGGAGTGGAATATCTACAATGGGAAACCAAATCAAACATTTATCACTCATTTTCAATATAAATGTAAATTGTATTTTATATTGTACGGGTATTAATATTAAGCGCTCTGAGACACGATTCTGCCTGAGAGGTACTATATAAATGCAAGTTGTTGTTATATTATTGCTTTGGTCAATGTACAATACAATATCCATTTATATAGCACCTTTCACATCGGGAGGACGTCTTAAAGCTGGAGGGTGGGAGCTGAGTGGGTAGGTGTGGAGGAGGGGAAGATCACTACAAGTGTGGTCATAGAGGTAAGTTTAATATATTGCGTGATCAGATCATCAATCTACATACATCAATTTTTGAAGAAAACCATGGAATTAAGTTGATTATTTTTGAAAAGGGAACTAGATAACCAGATAAAAAGGAGTTTTATGATGATGCAGTGGTGAAGTCCCTCTGATCACCATCTCACCTTGCCTAAAAAAATGTTTACCTGAACAGTAAAAACATTTCAGTGAAGTGACAAATTGCTTTTCATTCCCACTTAGCTTTAGGGAAAATTCGGAGCGCTGTTGGAAGTGCCCAGCTTCTCATGTCCCAGAAATTCCAACAGTTTTACTGGCTCTGTCAACAGAATCTGGTAGGTGCCTTCTTGTTTCCTTTAGCTATGGCGCTTGCATTTCTCTGGACCATTGTGGGTTTTGTAAGTGAACTGGTGTGCCTGAAACTGTTTTTTAGTATCACTTCTATCTCACTTTACCATGAGTCTGGTCTGCACTTTGGTGGAAAGGCGGTTCAGTGTGTTTCTGTGTATTACACAGAGGGTAGTTAACAACTGGGTTACCAGGAAGGATGGTTGAGGTCAGGACAGTTATTTAAGAAATGTCTGAAATGGATCATAATGGATAAAGGATCATACAGTTAATAGTATTCTGGAAGAATTTCTTTCGTCTTTGAGTTTCTTGTGATTTCACTTTCCCTTTAGGTGATAGCAATTACACAGCAGAACTAAACATTACACAGCAGCTGCTTATTAAATACGCAGTTCAAAAATGCAATAAAAAAAATCCAATTATTTTCCAACAAATAACTTAAGGGACTTATGCTGCAATAATTCTCTGGTCACAAACAGTCAATATTTAGACTGCCTGGCTATATAGACTGCCAAGGGGACAAACTCTCTCTCTCCTCATACTAACTTTGGCACAAAGGTTAAAGGAGAAGTTTTCAGCCACCACTATCTTTCATTATTGATGGTGTTCTTCATGGCAGTCAATATCTCTTGAACAGATTTTTGGTTGATGTGATTCTCTATCCCAATGATAACCATCACATCATATTTCCTTCACGTCCCCCATTCTTTATAGAAAATATGCTTACATTTGATACAGCGCCTTTCACATTGGGAGGATGTCTTATAGGTCTTCACAGGAGATACTGTAAACTGCAATGATTGGGGATGTTGCAGTCAAATGCCAGAAGGATCTTGTCCTATGTATTTAAGAAATGATGAAGTTTATATTTTGGGAAATTCCTACGGTCAAATTTTCCCCGCATTGCACCACTGTGAAGTCAATGGGAGTTCTGTTTCATTTTTAACCACCCAGCAAAGGTTTGTGTGTGTGACACAGAGGGCCAATTATCTGCGGCTCGTATCATAAAAATTCTTTGAAATTATAACACAACAACAAAACGTTCACCATTATTTTCCTATAGTGTAGTTCCATCTCATTAACAGTATCCCTTGTGACATACATATGGACTGTGCTGTCTGCATACGTTAGCAAGAGGAAGATCAAAGTGATGGCATTTTGCTTCAGTTCTGCAGTGTATGAATGCCAATCATTCAATATTTCAGTCAAAAAATTCTTGAAATGTCATAGATAAAAAGACCATCTAAGCAAATATGCAACGGGAGGGGTAACATAACAGTGAACAAAGGCTGAGTTTTACAAATGATCAAACACTGAACATCTTTCCAGGGTCCAAAGGCTCAATTCTCTTGTACCAAATATCACTGTTCATGTACATGTGATTTGTGGAATTGGACATACCATTCGCATTTGCAATGGTACAAAGAGTTCATCCTCTTAAATAATTACCTATCGTAAGAAAGGTTATTTAGCAATTTGAGAGATTGACATGGAAATGTTTCTGCTGTGAACCGTTAAATGAGATGCTTTGGTACGTTGGTAGGATCCCAGTGCGATGCCAAGGCCAACCTCCCAGGACCTAGCAGGCTTTTGGGATCTCCTTCAACTTTCCATCGAGGACGTCAGCATGAAGTTTGACGAGCTGCACCAGCTGAAGGCAAATGACTGGAAACCTATTGATCCGCTTGAAAAGCAGGTAAAGTCCCATCACTTCATGAGCTAAAATGTAGCCAAAATAAGTCCATGGTCACTTTTTGCAGAAATACCAAGCGACATTGGAGTAGGTCACATTTGAGGTGCAGTATTCTTACTAAAATATGTTTCAGGATTCAGGCCAACACAGTAAGTGTTGCAAAAAGAGGCCATAGTCTTAAACTGGGGGCTAAACCTTTTAGAAGTGAAATAAGGTGGGGGGGGGAAGCAGATGTTGGTGGGAGTGTGAAATTCACTCCCCCAGAGAGAGACCTAGGGAGAGACCTGGGGGTGCAGGTGAATGAATCCTTGAAGGTGGCAGGACAGGTAGATAAGGCTGGAAAAAGGGCAAATGGGATTCTTGGCTTTATAAATAGGGGCATAGAGTACAAGAGTCAGGAGGTTATGATTAACCTATATAAAACACTGGTTAGGCCTCAGTTAGAATACTGCGCCCAGTTCTCGGCACCACACTATAGGAAGGATGTTAAGGCATTGGAAAGGGTGCAGAGGAGATTTACGAGGATGGTACCAGGAATGAGTGACCTTGATTATGAGGAAAGGCTGGAGAGGCCGGGATTATTCTCATTGGAGCTGAGAAGGTTACGAGGAGACCTAATAGAGATGTTCAAAATCATGAGGGGATTTGATAGGTTAGAAAGGGAAAAACTGTTTCCACTGGTGGGTGTGTCGGTGACTCGAGGTCACAGATTCAAAATAGTATCTAAAAGAAGCAGAGGGGAGGTGAGAAGACATTTTTTCACGCAGCGAGTTTTTCGAATCTGGAACGCATTGCCTGAAAGGGTGGTTGAGGCCGATTCGATAACTACTTTTAAAAACGCGGTGGATGGGTATTTGAGGAGCACGGGTTTGCAGGGTTATGGGGAAAGGGCTGGGAGTGGGATTGACATTAATTGTTCTATTCAAAGAGCCGGCACAGACTCGATGGGCCGATTGGCCTCTTTTTGTGCTGTACAACTCTATGATTCTATGATTCTATGAGAGGACAGTGGAGGCAGAGTCAACTGAAAAATTTAAAAGGCAAATAGATAAATATTTGATAGACATGGGTATCAAGGGATATGGAGAGAGAGAGGAGAAGTGGAATTAGGTCGCCATGATCTTGCAAAGTGGTGGAAGAGGTCATTCAGCTCAATGGGCTGAATGATCTCTTCCTGTCCCTATGTTCCTATAAAGCAACGAGTGAATGAGTGTGAACTGAGAGATAGAAGTAATTGTATTTTTTCATTGTAATCAAACTTCTCTCTACAAATTACATTCTCTTCTATACAAGTGCCTGAATACACCAACAAAACATAACATTGAAATGGTTTTCAGTTTGATAAATGATGTTCCCCAGGCATATTTGTTCCAAGATTATAACTTTGTACAACAAAGAAAGCAGCAACCAAAAACAACTTGATTTATGTAGCACCCTTCACACAGGGTGGTGTTGGAACACTAGCATATTTCTGTAACAAGCAGATATCAGATTTTCCCTGCACAATCCATAAAATAAATCCTGATATCCAAACTCCACACCCCTATCATCCCAGTCCTTGCCAGGCTCCACTGGCTCCCTGTGGCAGAAAGGATTGATTTCAAGGTTTTCACACTCACCTACAAATTACTTCATGTCCTAGCACCTCCCTGTCTTTATGACCACTCCACTATCCAGCCCCTTTGCTCAGCCATCTCCAGACTTCTGCACATCTCTCGCTCTACCATTAGTGGCTGCAGTTTCCAACACTATGCTCTGGACCTCTGGAACTTCCTGCCTCAGTCCCTCCACTTTATCCCTTCCTTGCCCATCTTTAAATGGTACCTGAAGACCTTCCTCTTTAACCACGTCTAAGGTCACCTCCCCTTTCTCCCCAGCTCGGCATCAAGCTCCGCTATTATTAAACGTGCCAAGACACCCATGTGAAGGGTGCTATATGAATGCAAGTTGTTGATGATGTTAAACCACGAGCACAAAATGTTAAGATAATCATCTAAAAAATTAAGGGGGAAGTTAGAAAAAAATTCTCTACACAAATTCAGAATTTTCCACCACAAACTATTGTTGTAGGTCCTTAGAATTCCAAAAGGCTTTAGACAAAGTGTCGCATGAGGGAATCCTTTACAAACTGATGCCAATGGATGTAAAGGGTAAGTAATAATAATAATAATCCTTCATTTGATATAGCGCATAATCAATTCTTCGAGACATCTCAAAGCGCTTCACAGAATATACTACAAAGTGAATTGATTGTGTATTTTGTGGGCGAAAGGCATGAATATGAATTAGCAACTGGTTAAAGGGAAGGAAGTAGAAGGTAGACATTTGGGGAACTCAGTCAAAACAACTGGAAATATTGAGTGGAGTATCTCAGGGTTCCTTGCTCAAACCCCTTCTGTAAATGTAATTGACTTGAATTCACAGACAAAAGTGGCTGTGAATTTGCAAGACTTGAACTGGCAAAAGTTCAAGGCAGATAAATGCAAGGCAATAATACGAAGTGAACATAATAGGCAGATGTTCTACATAAATCAGATAGAACTTGCCAAGGAGAAAGTTGAAAGAGGTCCAGTGGTGGTAGTTGACTCATTTGCTCACAGTGTCAATGCAGTGTGAGGCAACAATAAGCAAAACAAACAGGATGTTGGATTACAATCCCAAATTAGTTGAGATGAAATCCAAATCATGCTCACTCTGTACAGTGTTCAGTCAGGAAGCACCAAATATAGTGCTAATCATTGTGAGAAAGGAGCTTTGTAGGTTCTAGAGATAATGGAGAAGAGTAAGGTTGATTCTCAATGTTGGAGCAATGGTGAGTGAGGAACAAATAGACCAGCTCAGACAATTCAGCCTTCAAAAGAACTGTCTCATGGGATCTTATAAAAGGTATGTACACAGTTTTAATTTTGCATTATTTCTTGGCAATCCCATTAAAATTATCGTCAACCTAGGACTATTCTCCTTGGAGTGGAGAAGGTTAAGGGGAGATTTATAAAGTGTTCAAAATTATGAGGGGATTTGAAAAAGTGAACAGGGAGAAACTCTTTCCACTGGTGGGTGGGTTGGTAACCAGAGGACAATGATTTAAGATAGTTGTCAAAAGAACCAGAGGGGAGATGATGAGAATTGCTTTCACACATTGAGTTGGTCGGATCTGGAATGCATTGCCTGAAAGGGTGGAGGAAACAGTTTGATAACAACCTTCAAGAGAGAAGTGGATAGATATTTGGGGAGGACACATTTTAAAGGCTATGGGGAGAGCACAGGAAAGTGGGATTAATTTGGGCAGCTCTTTCAAAGAGCTGGCACGGGCACGATGGGCCAAATGGCCTCCTTCTGCGCTATATAATTCAATGATTCTAACTTACAGAAACTGCTCTCTGGAAGTTGATCACTGCAGCATTGCGCAAATTGCCAAAACCAAAAAATTGAAAGTAAACCCAGAAACAATGCTTTCAGATATGCCAGAGTTGTGAGAGCAACTTCAGGACGGCAGACATCAGAAAATCTTTCTTTACACAAAGAGTAACTAACAGCTATGATGGGTTACCAGAAAGGTTAGAAGCAGCCAGGATATTTAACAAGCTGTTTGATGTGGCATACATGAAGGAGTTAAGATTGCTATTTTGTAAGAAGGAGATCAAATTGGCCAAAGGGCCTTCTCTAACTGCACCTCTCTTGTGATCTGCAGCTGTCAATGTGTTGCTGCCTTCTAAAACCACTGCAGACAGTGTTAACATGTATGGTTTATTGTTCCTTTGTCAGTCATACCCTCCGTTTTTTCTGTTCCTGGTTTCTTTGTTTGCATTCCCCCCCCACCCTGAATTATTTTCTGTGTCTGCACTCCTCTTTCAATCCTCTCTTCTGTTTCCCCTTCTTTGCAATATCTGTGCTTTTCACAGGGTTCCTCTCCATCGCTGACTCTCATACACACGCACACATATAATTGCTGTTAGATTTCACAATCTGCTACTATTGTGGAATTGACCATTGCTCTCCCAGTTCTGTGATGCACGACATGAAGCCAAGAACTGTGCAGCCATTCAGAACTTGCCAGTTGTTGCAGCCTTTAGCCATTTGTTTCCCACATCTGTGGCATTTTGAAGATGTGGGTCTGTGTGGGTGAAAGAAAACATACAGGCGATAGATTCCACAAACTGTCTGTTCACACGTCTCTATATCGGTGGATATCTCCTTTCAGAATACCTTGGGTTACATGACAATTTTAAGTCCAGCATTCCTTTCAGTAATGACAACAACAACTTGCATTTATACAGCGCCCCTCACACAAGGTTTTGTCCCAGAGCTATTGATGGAATGCTTATCTGGTAAACATAGGTTGGGCCAGTCAGTCTTAAGGATGAAGTTCCCATCCTGTCAGCTACAATTCCATGAGGCTGTACATGTGGAGTCAGATCACAATTTCTGCCAGACTTTTCTTTCAGCCACACACGTTGCTGGCCCTGGTGCATTGCAGCTGTTAAACCCTCTCTGGCCAGGCTCGAGTGGCCTCTGGATAGCTCATAGCTGCTGACAAGCTGAAGGAGATGATATGGGTGATACCACTCTGCACATCTAGAGAAGCTCACTCGCAGTAAGGGCTTTCACCAGAGCCTGCTTGGCTGCATTTAACTTTGAAAATATCTAAACGTTGAATTTTCAGATACCGTGGGGAGATGCAAGGAATGGTGGTACATTGGGGTGGGGGGTGGGGCGGTGTTTGCTTATTAAATTCCAACATCCCTCCCCCATAAAAAACAATTATATGACATCTTGCACACTGGGAGTTTCTAATGAGTGTAAATCATACATATCAGGCTTGCATTTGACCACATCATCGAGATGTCTCAAAGAGCTTCCCAGGATTTTATTGTGAAGTGTAGTGATTGTATTTTTAGGCCAACACAGCAGCCGATTTGTCCCCAAAACAACCAAGTCTGTTTTTTTCCAAATTATCTTTTGGACAAATATTTTTTTCAGCTCTCAGTTTTAACATCACCAAAGAGAAGGCCCGTCAAGTTAACATCTCATCCTGGATGTTTTGTGTAAATGGATAGAGCTGTTCAGTGTCAACTGTGTCAATGTGTCACTGTGTCAAGCTATTGAATTTCAAGTCTAGAGAATTGTACCTGTTGAATGAATGTTGTCCCCTTTATAATCACTAACTGCTGCTGTCCCAATACTACACTGCTTCCTTTAGCCAGGACGGGTTGGACAGTGGGGGCCATCAACGTCTCCATGGCCACCATCAGCGCTGCTCTGCGAATGGCCGACTGGAGGTGCAGTTCTTCATGACGGGACGGGTCCCGACAGTTTTTCCTCAGCCCCTCCCCCAAGATGGAGTGCTTCGCTGCTCCACGTAGCGGCCTGGCAGAGAGCTGGGCAAAATCTCTCATTATGGGTGAGTGAGTTTGAATGTCGCTTCAAGGCTGGGATTCAAACTTGTGACCCTATGGGTTGGAAGTTCAGTGCTCCCTCTGACCACCTTGAACATATATTATTTTTTCTTTTGTAAATGCATGCGTGCCACTGCATTTTAATCTTTGTGAATACTGATAGATGTTAAATAGGCCGGGTTCCACTCACACAAGCAGCTTTGAGTGCAGATGCAGACAGATGTGCTGTTATCACCTGCCTCAAGCTGTTGAAATTCGACTGAAAGATTACCATTGCACCCGCACATACCTCTCTGCTACAGACCAATAATGTACAATATGAGGCCCTTTTACATAATATTCTTATTTTAGTTGCAATATAAATTTGCTGTCTCGCTAAGGGTACTTTAGACACTCTTAGATCATTTTAAATTGATTTTTACTGCGTACATATCCAAAATGTACAAATTCAAGTGTAAAAATCACTGACATACCAAATGTTACAACGTATCATGGCAGGTGGTAGTTTTGAGGATTGTAATTCTGGATTTCACTGCTTTCTTGTGACAGTTCAAATTATTAAACCTTTACAGCTCGACATATTTCTTGGAATAAGCCTATATTATAGCCATCAACTGAACATTCCTGGTAAACCTAATAAGTTATGTTCACCGAACCACACAGATCAGGGCTTAAACCAGTGCTAAATGCATAGAGTCTGGGATGGAAGTAATAATAGTGATAATAATAATGGTGGGGGGNTGGGGGAGGTAGAGAAGTATGACTCGTGATCCACACGTAAAGAAAATGTTCGCTAAATTAAAAGAAAGCACCGATATAGAATCTTCCTTAGCCGCTAGGTGAAACTATTCTCCTGAATAATAGGGAGGAGAGAATGGGGTGGGAAGAGACACAGCGAGAGAGCAATGGGGACGGGGACTTGTATCAACTATTAAGGACACATTTTCCCTGCATTATTTGTTCATGCATCAGTGCTAAGCATTGTATACCAAGTCCCTTTCTTCACCCCCACCCCCCCACCACCACCCATTCCTAATATTTGGACAAAAAAATTCAACCAGTTTTACCCTCATTCCAACTCTTTCTCTTCCCCCTCCCGCCTACTTCAGTGAGAGAGTAGTAAACTTATGGAACATGCTCCCTAGGGAGACAGTGGAAGTAGAAAATGTCATTTGTTTCAAGAACAAATTAGATAGATTTCAGCTGGAAAATAATATCCCTGCATACAATGTATAGTTTGGGACACGACATGTCAAGCGACTGCCAGGATGCTGGAGGGCGAACTAGATGGACTGTGGTCTTCTTTCCCCGAACAAATTCTTATGTTCTTATAGGTTGATTCCATAGGTACCAGTCAGTCCTTTATTGAGCTTGACCAAGTCACTGTTCTTCACGGGAGCAGCTAGACAGGGAATACCAGCAAGCTCCAGATCAACCATTAGGGGATTGGAATCAATCCAAAGCCTATTTTCAACTAATGTGCTCCAACACTCAATATTCAAGCGGGACGTGTGGGAAAAAACAGAAGAGAGGAAGTGTTTGTCACTAGATAGTGAACCCTGGCTGACTATCCCTCCCACCCATCCCCCGACACAATTCTACACCATCTTAAATTAGGACAACATGTTTTTGCAGACTAAGACTGGGTAGAATTTCAGATCTCCGATCTATTGTGCTCAGTTCTAACCATCATTAAATCTTATATACAAATGGCAAAGGCTCCTGACATCAGGTGAATCTGTTCATTGGCAGCCCTACATTTGCACCTGAAACCTGAGGTTAAGGTTCAGGTTATAATCCGTTCGAAAGGCAGTGCTTCACAGAACCACCCCCTCCCAACTCCCAACCCTCTCCTTGGCTGTTACTAATATAGATGCCTTGGGACCACAGAGATCAGTCATGACCTTATAGAATGGCAGAGCAGGCTCGAGGGGCTGAATGGCCTACTCCTGTTCCTATGTTCCCACCATAACTCTTTTGGTGACAATATCAAGAAACAATGGTTCCTTGTCTGAAAAGTGTTAGTTGGAACTGATGCACTGATTGATTAAAAAAAAGGCTGTTATTTTAGTTCTGTCTAGTCAGTATTAATGTAATTATTTCGTGTTTACTTAGGAGGAAAAGAAGGTTCCACCTCCAGTACCAAAGAAGCCACCCAAAGGGAAAATCCCTATCATGCGGGAGAAGTCTCTGGAGCTTCCTGACAGGCAGCGGCAGGAGGCCCGAAAGCGGCTGATGGCTGCCAAGCGAGCGGCCTCCTTCCGGCAAAACTCGGCCACGGAGCGCGCAGACAGCATCGAGATTTACATCCCAGAGGCACAGACCAGGCTTTAAAGACAGAAAAAGTCGCCAGCAAAATCTCTCTTTCTTTCTGTTTTACCATTGGCTCTTAATATTTGTCATGTACATTTCACACCATGAAGCCTGGTGGAATTAGTGATGGGAGGGTGTGGGTGGGTGGGAGGGGGGGGGTGGGTGTTTCCATGGTAATTCTTGTCTCAGCCTCCGCTGTGTTCGCTCTTGCTGTTGTGTTCATTGTGCCATTACCCCAGTGGAATGATTCTGATTCTCTGAGTTTTTGGAGCTCGTTGCAGGAATTACCATTTCTCTGTTAAGAGGCATCAGTCTTAACCCAGCGACTGTGATGAAGCAGGTATGCTGAATATTCCACTGATTCATTAAGCGCACAGGAGCCTATTAAGGAGCGCAAGACCTCCAGAGAAGGAAGCTCACAATTTTTCAAAGCTAATTCAACTGTGCTGTTTTCTATCAGTTGCTCACTTGCCCGGTGAGTTTGACAGACAGCTCTGAGGAGAGAGAGAGAGAGAGAGAGAGAGAGAAAAATCCAGGCTCATCAGAGTCTAGCAGAGAGAGAGGACCACACAGAACAGGACAGTGTTGTGGTTTGAAGACAATATTAAAATCCAGGACGAATGAATTATGTGCCAACACCATTTCTCATTTTTTTTTAAAGTAAACCCCATGAAGTGAACCACCGACACCCAACTCCTAGTAGGGAAGCAAGAAAATAGAAGCTGGGCTAAAGTGACTAGCTGAGCTGTTTTCCACTCAGATGCTTTCAGGGACAGAGGTCCAGAACAGTTTGGTGGAGGTGTGGGTGACATGGCTTAATAACTCCCTCTCTCTCTCGCTCAAATGACTTTTACGTTTTGTGATCTACGAACTTATTGGAACACAAATAACTTCCAGTTTCACGCTGGTATGACCCGGCCCTGATGCCCTTCAGTTTCCAAAGTATTTGCCAAATCGACGGAAGGCTTGAAAGAGAGAGAAAAAAAATTGCAATGGGTACAAATAATTTTCTTCTCTCTACCTTCTTTAGTCAGGAGTTAGTTGGAAGAGCCTTGAAAGGAATCTCGCAGCAAATCGATATGTACTGTTTGAGTCAAGGGAGAGAAAACAAAAGTGCTCACCTTTCCAAGTGATGGAAAAAACGTGCAATAGTGACCAGCCTCACTTAAAAATGTGCAATTTCAAATCGTGCCAACGCCAATGAAGGAGACCTGAAGGAGAGATGGAATGTGACTTCCCCGTGAATGCTTGCCTTACAATAGCCAGATTCTTGGTAGTTAGATATTTCAACACAAGGAAATTCAGAAATAACCTTCTGGTAGTAACCACTTCAAATATTCCCTTCATTTCGAATTTATTATGCTTTTTAAAAAAAAAAACTTTTAATATATATCTATATAAATATATATATATATGCAGTGACTAGCGTTAATCTTTTGAACTGGCATGCTGTTTTCATTTTCTTCACTTAAGGGAAAAATGTAATGGATTATGCTAGCTACAAACATTTATAAATTATACATGCTACGGTAATTCTGTTTTTATTGGTTTGTTTATTTTATTTGTTGGTTTATTTATTTACGCGAGGGTAGCCTTTAAAACTTTTGTGTGTGGTCAGTCTACCTGTTCTTGGAAAGTGTCCATCACAATAATGCAACCAGCAGAGAGGATGCTTGAATGTGATTGCTAAGATTTCAGTTCACTGACATTTCGATGACCATGTGCAGGGGTTGTTTTAACCTCAAGGTATTTTTGCTTTCATTCTTCTCGAAAAATAATAATAATAATAATAATTCCTTGGTTATTGTGAAAAGAAAAGAAAGACCGTTAATTCAGTGATGTTTGTGGAAGCATTGAACTCGTAGTTCAAAACAAAAAAACCCTTTTCAAAATGCAACTCAGAAAAATAGCACCCTCTACAGTAGAAAAGCCCACAAAACCACAAAACACACTCCCACCTCATGTTTGATTCATTATTGTACCAAACAGCCTTAAACTAAATTTGGAAACAAACGCGGATGAATGTACAGCCCCTAAAATTTGCAAAAAACAAAGAGATACGTTAACCTAGGATACGTTATTTATCATAAATAAGGCCTTGGATTATGATGAGAGCTTTACAATGTGAAATTTAATTTATTTTAGTTAAACTATATAAAGAGATAGTCAAAAATATATAAAGAGGTAGTCTGAGAAATGTTTAAAAAAATATATATATACTCATTGTTCTCTAAAGCTAATATCCAGAACTGTTCTCTCTCACTAGGTTCGTTAAGACTTTAAAAAAAGTTAAAGCAGTATTTTTTTCTAAAGAAAACCTAGAGGTTATTTTTGATGTATCCACAAGAGTGGGATGGTGGGAGCTGGCCTGCTTTTGGGCATATTATTTGGCTTGCCTGTATGTTATTGTTGAAAGTGCACTAAACTAGTTTTCAGCTGGTTAGTGCTGAACTCTCATTATCCCTGCTTCCTTACACAACATGCAGACATCATTCTATAATTATAAACGAGATTCATCAGCAATTACTGATTTATTACTGACTTTTCCAAACAGATGTCACTGTGTTCTTTCTGCTATTCAGTACATATTAAGAAATAAATTTCACACACGCCGATTAAAGCATTCATCTTCAAGGATTTTGACTTTTTGTACAAACTGATTTAGTCAATAGATAAAATATAGAGCAAAACATATCAATTTACAAAACTATCTTGATAGTAGCCTTGATGCTTTTATTATGAACACCCGTAAATATTAATCCATATAGAATCCTGCATAAAAGTATTGGCTTTGTTCCTGTTGATTTTAAGAAACAAAATTGTGGGTGAATTCCTACATGTCTAAGTGCAATATACCATATGTATCATCGGTGGTAAAGATATCAGGTCAAGTGAACAAAAGGCATTTTTTAAAAAGTAAGATTACAGTGCTCTCTTAGGTAAAATACATAGCAATGCTCTTTTATACATCTACACTTTTCATTACAGACAAGGTTCATATTTGACAGCAGTAAAGTAATACAAACTAGTCCATGTTAGATACTACAAAGCTTTAACTGTGCATTTAATACAGCAGCTTTGCTCCCATTTAATGGACAACCCATGCCATCATTTAAACCAAACGGGCTTATCAACAGGACACAATATTGACTGATAAACGTGTTTTCTTTGGGGTCGGGAGTGGGGGGGAAGGTGGAGTTTCTAACTAATAAACCACGTCTCTCAGATGAGCAAATATCAGTTTTCAGTTATGTCTAACAGAAAGGACACATATCTCCCCGTAAATGTGCAAATTGTGCCAAAATGGTAGGCCTGCATTGTCTCACAAGGAAGCTAAGGAATAGAGATTTCCTATGTATCCTGGCACACACACAATTTAGTTGAAAATACTGCAAATTATAACAAAGGATCGCATCAGTGAAAAAGCAGAGTGGAGTGCCAAATGTAATTTCTTTGCATAGAACAGCTCTTAAAGAAAAAAAGCCGTAACTTTAACACACAATTCTCTTTTTTGCCTTTCATGTTTCTTTTGATAAGCACTAATTATTAGCATGCGAGATCTAGGTATTAATATTGAATGTACAGTAAGCTATTCTGTTGCTGAAAGTGATTTCTTGGTACTTGCTAATGCCTTCCTTACCAGTTGGTTAGTAATTCAGTTTGGATTTATTTTTATTTGTTTTGGGGAGTGGGGGGGGGGCGGGGGGTGCGTGAAAATGTTTGGCCTCATTTGATTTGCACTATTCTTCAGTTCATGACAAAACACTCTCATTTTCTAGCAGACGATCATGAGATGTGCTTTTAGTATGTTGTTCCATTACTCTCTCTTTGGAGAGAGATGCCTCTTTCACACACGTTGTGCATTACTGACGCCTATCATCAGTTGTAAATACTACTTTGATTAAAAACTTTTTTTGGATGGGGAGGGGGGGAAAGGGGAGGGAGGGGTGGGGGAACGACTGATGTTTTTGTCCACTGAGTAGCCTGTTGGCCAGTGACAGAACTGAACCCTGAAGTGGACTGAATATGCTTCTGATTGTACAGAAGGATCACTGCCCTCCTTTATGTATGTTTATTTCTCATTTATGGAAGAAACGATATCTCGAGACATTACTTACTCTGTAAAGGAAACTTTAAAAAAAAGAGAAAAACACAGTTTAAATGTCCAGTCGTGGCATAATATTTCCTTCCAGTGAAATCAGAGCTGAATGTTTGATAAACTTATGAGTTGTTTCAAAATGATTGCTATGTGTGTTCATTATTGTTAGATTTTTTTTTACAAATCTGGAATTTTCACATTGCTTGATATTCACTCTGATGCAACATTGAAGCGCATTATTGACGATCGACCACTTTGGTAATAATTGAAATACCATTCAAATGAAAGTACGACCAAGTTAAGTCAAGTCTCTTTTGTAAAATGAATGGTGAAACAAGCTCGAGGGGCTGAATGGCCGATACCTGTTCCTGTGTGGTAGAAATACTGACCGAAGGCTAAACAACTGATGGTGGGATGGAGGGGGTACTTTTTAATGAAGCGTGCACACATTCAGCCAGCAAGACACATTTTATACATTGCTACTGGAGGTTTCTTTGTGTTTAATGGTTGTATTTAAATATATATTCATACATATGCACAAGCCTTTCATTTTGTTAATGAGGTTTGCTGCTGCGATCCAGCCAGAAGGAAAAACAAGCGGTTCAGTGATTCATATTGACTTCGCTGATCAAAGTGGTTTCAGAGAAAGCCAGAGGGGAAGGGAAAAAAAACACCCAAAACACAAATTATTGTGATTTTCCTTTCCATCAGATCATGAGCAGAGGAACAATTGATCCTCTGGTTCAAACATCATTGACCAGGAATATGTGACAATCTTATGACTCTTTGAAAAGAGAATTTTTTTCTCCTTTGGTGCCTCAGCCAAAACATTCACCTCAGTTTGCGTCTGATTACCTACAAAAAGCATTATTCACTATTATTATTATGGAAATTACTGTAACGCTCTTGGGAGTTGTTGATG